GCAATCCACTCACCTCAGCCTCCCAAAGGTGCAGGATTACAGGCTGAGCCACCAAGTCCGGCTATTATTTTTTTTTGAGACAGGGTCTTACTCTGTCACCCAGGCTGGAATGCCAGTGGCACGATCACAGCTCACTGAAACCTCAACCTCCTGAGCTCAAGCAATCCTAATCCTTCTGTTTTAGCCTCACCAGGTGTGCACCACCATTCCTGGCTAATTCTTTTGATTTTTTGTAGAGACAAGGTCTTGCTATATTGCCCAAGCTGATCTTGAACTCATGGGCTCAAGCTCCTGCCACCCTGGCCTCCCAAAGTGCTGGATTATAGGTGTGTGTCTCAGCCCTTGGCCCCATTAATTTTTTAGCATTTTGTAAGATTCACACCATTTTAAGTGAACTTGGGAACAGGCAGTGTTATGTTTTGTTGTTATTTGCATTTTTTTTTTTTTTGAGGTGTAGTCTCACTCTGTCGCCCAAACTGCAGTGCAGTGACATGCTCCCAGCTACCACAGCCTCAATCTGCTGGGCTCTGGCGATCCTTCTATCTCAGCCTTCCAAGTAGCTGGAACTACAGGCGTGCACTACCACGCCCGGCTAACTTTTGATTTATTGTAGAGACGAGGGCTTGCCAAGTTGCCCAGGTGGGTCTTGAACCCGTGGGCTCAGGCACTCCTCTCGCCTTGGCCTCCCAAAGTGCTGGGATTACAGGCTGAGCCGCCGAGCCTGGCCTGTTATTTACATTTTGATAATCCTAGACTAACCTACTTCATTAGGCAGGAAAAGACTCTAGCATTAAACATTAAGTAATGTTGATTGCCGGGTCTGGTGGCTCACACCTGTAATACCAGTTCTTTGGGAAGTGGAAACAAGAGGATTGCCAGAGCCCACTTGTTCGAGACAACATGAGCTGAAGTATAGGAAGTACTATGCAAGCTCTACAGCATGCGTACTATCCTCAGCTTTCAAAATGAAATTGGTAGCAATCAACATCATCATTATTATTATTATGATCATTATTATTATTATCATTATTATTATTATTTTGAGTTGGAGTCTCACGCCATTGCCCAGGCTGGAGTGCAGTGGCATGCTCACGGCCACCCCAGCGTCAACCTGCTTGGCTCCAGTGATCCTTCCTCCTCTGTCTTCCAAGTAGCCAGAACTATAATCGCATGCTAGTGTGCCCAGCTAATTTCTTTGATTTTATTGTAGAGAGGAGGTCTTGCCAAGTTGCTCGGGCTGGTCTCAAACTCACGGGCTCAGGCAGTCCACTCACCTTGGCCTCCCAAAGTGCTTTGATTATAGGCTGTCACTGAACCTGGCCATTACTCCATTTTTACAGATAAAGAAAGCGACACCCAGAGAGTTTGAGACATATTCGGTGTCACAGAGCTAGACAGAAGAGTTTGAGACATATTCAGTGTCACAGAACTAGACAGAAAGTGACTGAGTTGAGTCTCTAAACATTCAGTATTTTCTCCACCACACCACACTGACCTCAGCTTGCTGGTGTGCATCCCCTGTGTTTACACAATGGTTCTTAGGATATGGGCATTATCTTGGGGCATGAGCACTAATTAGAAGCTCAAATTTCAACTTAACCTTGAAAATCCATATTGAGTAAAGTGAGGACAGTGAGTGTGTTACACAATTGATTTTGTGAAGGGAAATAAGATCCATTTCAAAATAATAAAGAGTTGTATGGCAAAAATGTATCCCACTTAAGCCCCTCCTATTTTGATGCAGTTTCTAGTTGCTGAGATTAATTCATCTGTGACACTCTAGAGTGTAACATTTGCAAAACAAGCCTTATAGTCTGACCTAAAACACAACTTGAAACTGTTATAAATAATTGTAATGGAATATTTTATGTATTAAATGAATTCTCAGAATGTTTATTGAAGTTCAGGTATTGATGAAACTCCTCTCAGCTGGGAGGAAATGGAAACAGGGGCTGGTTATGCATTGTCTCTGCCTTCCTGCAACCTGATTACATTTATCCCAAGAGCGGGTTGTCCAGGGCAAGGGTTATAGACTGAAACCCTCTCTCTGCTCCTCTGCTGGATATAACTGATGTGTAGGTGCTGCCCACCAGGCAGTTTTGTTTGATTTCATTTAAATTGATCAAAATCTGAATTGACTTAAGAACATTCAAAGATTATTAATTTGACTTTAAAGTATTAAAGTATTGTTTTTTGGGGTTTTTTTTTTGTTTTTTGTTTTTTTTGAGCCAGAGTCTCACTCTGATGCCCAGGCTGGAGTACAGTGGCATGCTCACAGCCACCGAAGTCTTGACCACTGGGCTCAGGGTGATCCTTCCTCCTCAACCTTCCAAGTAGCTAGGACCACAAGTGAGCACCGCCACACCCAGCTAATTTTTTAAATTTATTTTAGAGATGAGGTCTCACCAGGTTGCCCACGCTGGTCTCGAGCCCCTAGCCTCAAGGCAAACCTCTTGCCTCCACCTTCCAAAGTACTAGAATTACAGGCATGAGCCACCACACCTGGCATGATTTTAAAGTGTTGTTAATCTGTGTAAAATTCTGAAGGTTTTACATAACTAACTTCTCTTGAAAAAGAAGCAGTTCTTCCCACTAGGCCCAGCAACCATCAGAGGCACCAAGGCTCTTTCCTGGGCCAAGCCCTTAGAAACCTTTGCTTGTGACCCTGCTTGAGCTTTGGGAGGAGGAGAGTGGGGGATTATCTTTCACTTTTTATTTTATGTGTGTTAGTATTACTGAATTTATTTTTCCAACAGATGTTACTTTTCAAGATAAAATAATAGTCATGTATTTAATAGTGTAGAAAACTGAACAAAGTCGAGTGATAGATCTGATTGAGTATCTAAAGAGTCATGTAGGCACCCAGTGCTTGACCTCAGAGAAAAGCAGGGTTTCTAGGCTGGATAGTTGAGACAGGCTTCTGGAAGAGGAGGCATTTGTGGAAAGTCAGAGTGGGAAACAGGACACCTGCCTGGATACCAGATGTGCAGTGAGCAGTGGTCCATAGAAAAACAAGGAAGATCGGGCAATAGTGGCTCATGCCTGTAATCCCAGTGCTTAGGGGGTTCAAGGGAAAATTGCTTGAGCCCAGGAGTTTGAGCCTGTAGTGAGCTAAGTGTATCCATGCTTTCCAAAGTGCTGGGATACAGGCATGAGCTACCACACCCAGCCCATTTTAGCCATTTTCAGGGTACAGTTCAGTGGGATTAAATACATTCACACCTGAGCCCGCGGGTTCGAGACCCGCCTGGGGCAGCGAGACCTCATCTCTACAATAAATTAAAAAATTAGCCGGACATGGTAGCACATGCCTGTAATTCCGGCTACTCGGAAGGCTGAGGAGGAAGGATCGCTGGAGCCCAGCAGGTCGAGGCTGCGGTGCCCGAAAGTGGCCACTGCACTCCAGTCTGGGCGACAGAGTGAGACTCCAACTCAAAAAAAAAAAAAATTCACAGTGTTGTATACCCATTATCACTATTTCTAGAGCTTTCCATCATCCCAAACAGAAACTCTGTACTCATTAAACGACAGCTCACTGTTCCTCCTTTTCCCCAGCTCTTGGCAACCTGTAATCTGTTTTCTGTCTCTGTGAGTTTGACTGTTCTAGGTACCTCACTTAAGTTTGATTTTAAAATATTACTAAACTGTGTAAAATTATGGAAGTAGTAGTGTTTGTCCTTTTGTTTCTGACTTATCTGACCTAGCACAGTGTCTTCAGGGTTCATTCAGGTTGTGGCATGTGTCAGAATTTTGTTTCTTTTTTTGGCTGGAGAGTCCTCATTTGTACGTCTGTACCATCTTTTTCATCCATTCATTCTTCTGTTGATGCAACTTTGGATCGTGACCACCTTTTGGCTCATAATGCTGCAATGAACACTGGGTGCCATATATCTTTATTTGAAAGGCAGCATTATAACACTGTTCTAAGTCAGAAAACAATAGTGTTTTACACAGGCAATAAAAACGAAGTAGTGCAGATGCCTGCTAAAGTCCCCAAGGTCAGGTCTGCACTCTGTCAAGAGAGATCAGCACGTTGGAGCAAGGCTTTAGACATGGTGTTGCCAGACTAAGTTGTCTTTGATTTATTTGGTGTTGAAAAGATGCTTGAAAGGGGCTGCCTTGCTCAGTCCGTGAGGTCAGCTGTATTTGACATCCACTGCTCTGGTGCCACCTAAAGTCCACCTCAGGTCATTTTGGGAGAGACATTGCTGAAAGAGTGTGGACCCCTTTGTGGCACCATTGAAAGGTGATGAATTCCAAGGACTACTGTAACAGGTGACCACAGACTAGGTGGCTCAACACCACAGAGCTTCATTTTCCCACAGTTCTGGAGCCTGGAAATCCCTCCAAAGGCTCTAGAAAAGAATCCTGCATGGCCTCCTCCTGCTTTGGTGGCCCAGACATTCCTTGGCTGTGCCCGCATAGCTCCTGTCTCTGCCTCTGTCTTCACATGGCCTTCTTCTCCATGTTTCTGTGTCTTGTTCTGTCTCTCAGGTGCTGCGTGTAGGGGCCACCCTGCTCCAGTGTGATCTCGTCTAGATCCTTACCTTAATTTTGTCTGCAAAGACCCTATTTCCAAATAAGGTCACGTTTGGAGGTTCCTGATGGACATGAATTGGGGTATGGGGTGGGGGCGAGGGGGGCACTGTGCAGTACAGGTGGGTTCTCCCTTTCCCAGGGAGATTTGGTTTTTGAAATGCCGAAAGGGTCTATTATACAGTGGTCTCACTGCACAAATCCTGAAAACAGGTTGCCCCACAAAACACAGAGCTCAGCCCGTTTCTTTTCACATTGTCCCAGTCTGAGTCATGAGCTTGTTGTACATGCTGTTATTTTAAGACTTAATAAGGCATTTCAGAAGTCATCATTTGCTTCTATTTTGAGCCTTTTTTGAATGTTATTTTAGTCTTTATGGTAACAGCTGTACATCTGTAAGGATACATTTAGGCATTTTTTTGAATAAGGATTTTAACGAGAAATCAGACTGTTAAGATTGTGACATGAAAATATTCATATGGAAAAGGGCCTGATTTTGCAGTTTTAAATAGACTGTGTATTACATGTAGGTACTTTGGGCTTGAGGACCAATATATATTTTCCCCAAATTCCAACCACCTAAAGAGATATGTTAATATAGAAAATGAAATTTTCATTGTTTCATCCCACTGAAGATGGCTATACTCTAGAAACCCTTTTCGTAGTTGCACTTAATATTTGAATCTGAAAACTTGGTGCTGTGGTTTGGGTATTTGTCCTCCAAAGGTCTCATGGTATAGCTTGATTCCAGGGTGGGAGGTAGGGCCCAAGGGCAGTTGTTTGGATCATGGGCAGGTCTCTCGGGTGAGTGAGTGCTGCTCTGTTCATTCCCTGACAGGTGGTTCTTTTTTTTTTACTTTTTTTTCTTGAGTCGAGGTCTCACTCTGTTGCCCAGGCTGGAGTACAGTGGCACACTCATGGCTACCGCAGCCTTGACCTGCTGGGCTCACACAATCCTCCCACCTCAGCCTTCCAAGTACCTGGAACTACAGGCACATGCCACCATACCCGGTTAATTTTTTTTTTTTTTTTAATTGTAGAGACAAGGTCTCACCAAGTTGTCCAGGCTGGTCTCGTACTCCTGGACTCAGGCAATTCTCTCACCTCAGCCTCCCAAAGTGCTGGGATTACAGGCTTGAGCCATGCAGAGCCTGACTCCTCCCTTCAGAATCTCAGCACTCCCTGGCTCCCCTTCACTGTTCACGCAGCCTGAGGCCCTCACCAGAAAACTAGTCTAGAACTTTTCCAGATGGCAGAATTGTAAGCCAAATAAGCCTTTTTCCTTTGTAACTCATCCAGCCTTAGGTATTCCTTGATGGCAACACAAACCAGCTGACATGCAGGGACAGAGCTCTAGAATTCTAGCCACGTCCTGAGGCGAAAGGGCATCAACTTGGGATTGTTTCATCACAGTCAGACTTAGGTAAATGGTAGTCATCTGTGATGGGCAGAAAGAAGGCAGGGCTGTGTTCACCAGGTGTACAGTCTACTCTTCCTCTGAGTAGATTGTATTTTGTTGTTTGTTTGTTTGTTTGTTTGTTTGTTTGAATTGGAGTCTCACTCTGTTGCCCAGTATGAGTGCAGTGAGACGCTCACGGCCACCGCAACTCAGACAATCCTTCCATCCTAGCCTTCTAAGTAGCCGGAACCACAGGCATGCACCACCAACTAATTTTTGATTTATTGTAGAGATGGAGGGTCTCACCAAATTGCCCAGGCTGGTCTCGAACCCATGGGCTCAGGCAATCCTCTCACTTCGCCTGGGATTATAGGCGTGAGCCACCACACCTGGCCTGAGTAGATTATTTTAGGGTTTGCCATGACCTTTTCCCTGGAGGATTCTAATTTGTGGACTTGTTTTTGGAAATGTTCTATCTGAATTGAAATTTTCTTTATTAAAATTAATTTTCTTTCCTTACTACTATCTGTTTGGAAATACTACTGTCTGTTTGGAAGCAGCTTATTGTGCCATTTCTTTTGCTGGTTGCCTCTTAAGTCACTTATTCTACTTTTTTTTTTTTTTTTTGAGTTGGAGTCTCACTCTGTCGCCCTGACTGGAGTGCAGTGGCCGCTCCCGGCCACCGCAGCCTCGACCAGCTGGGCTCCGGCGATCCTTCTGCCTCAGCCTTCCGAGTAGCAAGAATTACAGGCATGCGCTACCACGCCCAGCTGATTTTTTGATTTTATTGTAGAGATGAGGTCTTGCTGCCCAGGCGGGTCTCGAACCCACGGGCTCAGGCAATCCACTCACCTCAGCCTCCCAAAGGCGCGGGATTACAGGCTGAGCCACCGAGCCCAGCTATTCTACGTTTTAAAATGTAGTTTAATTTTGCATTTATTTATTTATTTATGGTCGCTCCTGCTTGGTTTGATTTTCAGGTGGTCGTTGAAATATGATCCATTTCCACTTGGCCAAGCTCTGAAAGAAGAATTGTTTTGACTCTCTACTGATGAATTTGTTCTTTTTTTTTTTTTTTTTTTGAGTTAGAGTCTCACTCTGTTCCCCAGGCTGGAGGGCAGTGGCACCTTCACGGCCACTACAGCCTCTATCAGTTGGGCTAAGGCAATCCTTCTGCCTCAGCCTTCCAAGTAGCTGGAACTATAGATGTGCGCCACCATACCCAGCAAATTTTTTGATTTATTGTAGAGACAAGGTCTCACCAAATTGCTCATACTGGTCTTGAGCCCCTAGACTCGCAATCCTCTCTTCTCAACTTCCCAAAGTGCTGGGATTACAGGCTTGAACCACTTCACCTGGCGAATTTATTCTTAATCATACAAATTTCATGCCTCTGAAAATGCCTGTTTTCTGTTTACAGGAAGAAGAAATGTTTCGTCCAAATATGTTTTTCCTCCTCTTGCTTCCACCTATTATCTTTGAATCTGGATATTCATTACACAAGGTGAGACACAGGCACACACTGGTGCTTTTGTCCTGATGGGTTCTCACGTTTGTGAGGCAGGTTTCTTAGAAACTTGGTTTTTCTTTAGCAGCTCTATTCCCTCCCAGGCGAGCCCGTCAGAAGCTGGATTGTGGGGCCTGACTTCTAGAGAGGAGCAGACATGACCAGTTAGCTGCTTTGGTGGTTTAGGCAGCGTGGCTCCTGGAGCCAGTGCTTTCTGTAGAGAGGTTCTGTGTCCAGGAAGATGGCCAAAGTAATCTCAAGTGTCACACAGATGACGCATTGACTCCTGGCCGGCACAGACTGACACTTCTCAGCTCACCTGCAGGGCCTTTGTCCCTCCTGAGGCCCCGTACGCCTTCCGCGTTGCCCTCTCAGCCCCTGTCCTGGGCCTCAGCCCCCAGCTGATCTTCCCTGGCTCCCCCAGTCTATGCCTCTTCCACTGGCTCCCAGGCTGACATCCCATCCCTCCCTGCCTCATGCCGCAGTTGCTCCCCCCATTCTTGCACTCCTGCCCTGCTTCTCCACTTTCTTTGCCTTGGCCTACTAGGTTCTGGGTGAGCTTCTCATTTTTGAGCCTGGGTTTTTTTTCTTGTCTGTGAGTTTTCTTTAAATATAAATGTATGTAGTTTTAAAATAAGGTGACTCAAGTTTAATTAAAATATTAGTGATATGACAGTTATTTTATGAATGTGATTTTTTAAATTGTGACACTTGGCAAGCTAAGGTTAGGCCAACCCTTGAGAGAGGAGCTAGAGACACAGGTCTGGTCTTGCGCTGCCCCCTACAGGTTCCTTTTTGGTAAAGTAGAAATGAGAAACAACCCCCCGCCCCCCCAAACCCTACCTCCCAGGTTGCTTTGAGACTTACACAGGGTGAAGTAGTGTAGGCAGAAAATTAAGTAGATAACATCACTTAAGAACTTAAGAGTTACATTTATTAATAAAGTTTTTGTAAAAACGTAAATTTTTAGTTTTCTACCTTAGTTTTTACACTAAGATGTTCAGTCCAGATTTCTTTTTTTTTTAAGTTGGAGTCTCACTCTGTCACCCAGGCTGGAGTGCAGTGATACACTCATGGCCACCACAGCCTTGATCTGCTGGGCTCAGGTGATCCTTCCACTTCAGCTTTCTAAGTAGCTAAAACTACAGGCGTGGCACTACCACGCCTGGCTAATTTTTTGGTTTGTTGTAAAGATGAGGTCTTGCCAAGTTGTCCAGGCTGGTCTCAAACCTGTGGACTCAGGCAGTCCTCTCACCTTGGCCTCCCAAAGTGCTGGGATTATAGGCGTGAGCCACCACACCTGACTGGACCAGCTTTTCTAATCATTTCTCTGATTTCTGCTTTCAAACAGGGTAACTTCTTTCAAAATATTGGTTCCATCACCTTGTTTGCTGTTTTTGGGACGGCGATCTCCGCTTTTGTAGTAGGTGGAGGAATTTATTTTCTGGGTCAGGTAAGAAAAACATCTTTGAAAATCTTCTACTCTTAGAGCTAGAGCAGGGAGATGGGTAGGTGGGGCAGGGACACTTCATGGGGCCTGGACTTCACTCTCGGGGTAAATGCCTTCCTGGAAGGAAATCCCACCTTCAAATGAGGCACACTAAAGGCATGTTAGAGTGTTTCTAAGTGGCCTCCAAGAACTTTGGTTTCTGGAATTGAGTGAATCTTTTCCATAATCTCCAAAATTATTTGATTGTGTTTGCAATCTATATTGTCCTAAATTGGAATGCCTACAAATAGAGTATATACCATCAAGAATTTCAGATGACAGCAGTATCAGTTGTGTTGTCAGGTAGACTGAATCTGGGTTGAACAATTTTTTAATAAAAACTTGCATTTTAAATCAAAGATGTGCTTTTCTGCTAGCATTGGAAAAGCTAAAATCAAAGATGATTCTGAACCTGTTCACTCAATTCTAAACTGTCTACCTGTAGTATTGGATACTCTGAATTTCCTGACATCGCTAGACTACTTTCCAGTGGTATCCATCAGATGTTCTGTACTTTGGGCTTCAGATTAATTTGCATGGATTTAGACCAGACATCCCTAGGAAGGTAGTGTCTGTAGTTTTGCATTATGCATATCCATGCATGTCACAGTTCTTTTCCTTTATTGCCAATTGCAGAAAGTTTGCCTGTCCCACTTTTGAAAATTACGCTAGCCGGGTTCGGTAGCTCAGCCTGTAATCCCGCGCCTTTGGGAGGCTGAGGTGAGTGAATTGCCTGAGCCCGCAGGTTCGAGACCCGCCTGGGCTACTTGGTGAGACCTCATCTCTACAATAAATAAAAAACTAGCCGGGCGTGGTAGCGCGCACCTGTAATTCCAGCTACTTGGAAGGCTGAGGCGGAAGGATCGCCGGGGCCCAACAGGTCGAGGCTGCAGTGGCCGGGAGCGGCCACTGCACTCCAGTCTGGGCAACAGAGTGAGACTCCAACTCAAAAAAAAAAAAGAAAACTAAGCTGAGGGTCAGGCATTTGGGTGACGTTTGTCAGCTGCTTTCTCCTCTTGACAGCTAAAGCCCATCCATCTGATTTCCATCCTTATTGCTGCCCTTATGGCACCAGAATAAATGTCTGTCATGCAACTTTCGTCATTGCTCAGCTGCTGGTATTAAATGCGAAGAAACTTTAGAGAAGAAAACTGCAGTTAATTGGGCTTGAAAAATGTGGCATTCTCTTCCATGCTTTGTTGATATGGTGGTCGAATGCATGCTTCAACTCAAACTTAGGAGCCTTCTTTGTTTTTCAAGTGGTTTGGGGACTGAAGATTAATGTCCTTATTAGTTTTAATAAAGTGCTAATGGACATTTTAATCTTCTTGGCTGTTCTCCAGGGGTTTTTTTTTGTGTCTGTATGTTTGTGTGTTTTATTTTACAGGCTGATGTAATCTCTAAACTCAACATGACAGACAGGTAAATCTTTCATACTGTAACACCCATGTGACTGCTTTCCAGACTGGGGAAACTTTCTCCATATTGCTTGCTGGGTGTGGCACTCTTCTATTCTGCATCTGTCTCTCTCTCTCTCCCTTTTTCTCCCTCTTTCTCTCTCTCTCTCTCTCTCTCTGTGTCTCTGTTTTTGCTGAGAATTTTGCTGTGGCATCTACTTTCAATTAATTTGTTTCTCTGAAATCAATGAAAACTATATTGAAGACTTTGAAGATCTCTAGTCAGAGCATTGCTCATTGAGATGATTGATTTAGATTAAGCTTTGGAGGGGATACTCTGTTCATTAAGCTGCCCTGCCCCCATACACATACACTGGGCCATTGTCCTCTTACTATTTCTAAGGCTTTCCAGTAGCCATAATGAAAAGTTGTCTTCTTGATGGATTAGGGATGGAGGGGGAAGTAGGGCAGAAACTTTGCTCTGAGGTTCCCACCCAGCTGGGGTGGGCTAGGGTAGAGGAAGCAGGCAGGGCCAAGGCCTCTACTGTGGATGCCTTGTCCTTCTGCAGCTTCTCATTCTCCCATGAGCCTTCTGCAGGAATTTCCGGAATTGACTCAGTGAGAAGCAGCCTCGGCAGCTGTCTCTCAGAAGGTACCAGATCTAGCACTGAAGAGAAGTACCCACATGGAGTGCAGCCTAGGCTTCCCACACAGAGTGCAACCTGGGCTCCCTGCTGAGAGTACACAGCCTTGCTGGGTGCCTGTGTGCTGTGTGCCTTTGTTCTTGGTCTGGTCTTGTGGCATGGCTGGGGTGCTGGTGTTCAGTGCCAGGTCCTGGCCATGGGCCAGCCAGAGCTCTCAAGCTTTCGCAGCAATTCGATGACTTGGGACTAGAATCTGGGAACTCTTTTCATGGGAAAGGTGCCTTTGATACCAAGTCTAATTCCGTTTCCACCGCCTCTCACCCCTTACCCTAGTCCAGGACATACATTTTGGAACTTTTGTTGCAAGAAAGTTTATATAAACAAGTAGCAAAAGTCACATTCCTATTCCATAGGAGCAGGAAACAGAACTGATGTCCTGTGTTTTATAGGCATTTTGCAAGTAAAAAGAAATGTCTAGTAAAGGAAGGTATCACAGCATTTGGGGTGACTGGTTAGAGATACAGACACTGCTGAACAACTGTTCACAAGTTGAGTTGAATCTGCGGTTGGGGTGTTCAGGGGAAGGAAAGGAAGAGAATTCCAGCTACCATGGAAACCAGAAGGCCGTAGACAGACTGACTAAGAGCCAGGTAGGGTTTCTCTCTCTATGTGCAGATGCTTCCTTTGCTGTTAGAAAGTGATTGTCCCAGGGATAGGGACTGCTCTGGGGCTGCCAACCCATGCAGCCACAGCGGCTGGCAGAACACTGAACAGAGGGCAGCTGTCCAGGTGTGAGTCCAGAGATGGGATAGGGCCACTGGGAAAGCACCCCCTGCATGAGGGGGACAGCCACTTCACAGCCCACCTGGTAATTACCATGTGGAAATTTGTGCCCAGAATTACTAGATATTTACAAATCGTTTTTTCCAAAAGAGCCTAGGTTTCTAGTTTTGCTTTTATGTTTTATTTTTGAGTCAAAGTCTCACTCTGTCGCCCAGGCTGGAGTATAGTGGCATAATTATGACCACTGCAGCCTTGACCTGCTGGGCTCAGGTGATCCTTCTGCTCAACCTTCCAAGTAGCTGGAACTACAGTGCGTGCGCCACCACACCTGGCTAATTTTTCCTGATTTATTGAGACAAGGTCTCACCATGTCACCCAGGCAGATCTTGAACCCCTAGGCTCAGGTTAATCCTCTCGCTTTGGCCTCCCAAAGTGCTGGGATTACAGGCATGCGCCACCTTGCCTGACTGGTTTCTAGATTTTTATAGAAAATGTTCTAGCTTTTAAATGTTGACAATGTCTCATTCAAGTACACCATGCAAGCCAACCATGAGAACCACAGACCACTTTTTGCAGCCTCTGCACTATAGAAAACATAAAAATAACTTTGTTGGCAGCACACAGTGGCAGGCGCCTGTAGTCCCAGGTACTGGGGAGGTGAGGCGGGAGAATGACTTGAGCCTCGGTGTTCTGGGCTGTAGTGCGCCATGCTGGTGTCTGTACTAAGTTGGCATCAGTATGATGACCTCACACGAGTGGAAGACCACCAGGTTGCCTAAGGAGGAGGAAACTAGCCCAGGTTGGAAACAGAGCAGGTCAAACTCCCATGATGATCAGTGGTGGGACAGCACCTGTGAATAGCCACTGTACTCCAGCCTGGGCAACATAGCAAGATCCCATCTATACATTAAAAAAAAAAAAAAAAGTAACTGTTGCACAGATTTTGTTTTAGTAATATTCTGGAGAGAGATTTCACTCTTAGATATCCTAAATTATTTCACTACTTTAGTTGGTTTCCTTTTCATTTTGTTGATGTTGCTATGCTTTGAGGTGATGAAATGAAGAAAACACACTTTTTTTTTTGAGCTGGAGAATCTCGCTCTGTCACCTAGGCTGGAGTGCAGTGGCACACTCACGGCCACCGCAGCCTGGACCTGCTGGGTTCAGGTGATCCTTCTACCTTAGCCTTCCAAGTAGCTGGAACTACAGGCACACACCACCATGCCCAGCTAATTTTTTTATTTACTGTAGAGATGAAGTCTCATCAAGTTGCTCAGGCTGGTCTCGAATCTGTGGGCTCAGGCAGTCCTCTCACCTTGACCTCCCAACATGCTGGGATTATAGACGTGAGCCACCACACCCGGCCTAAAAAACACATTTTTAAGTAGAACTTCTAGTCTGGCCTTCTGAAAGACTGAGCTCATATTGACGATGTGAGACAGGACAGCTGATGGACAGGTTAAGCGACCCTGGATGCAAGTCTCAGTGACTCAGATGGCTTGTGTTTTGACTTTCTAGGCTTACTGTTTTAAATACCCCACCTCAGCTTAAATTCCCAGCCAAAGCTAGGTGTGTTTTGTGATTTCTACAAAACTGTCTGGACTTCAACTTTATTATACACATTTCAGCATATAGAAGATATATAACTGTACAGTGAATGCCCATACAGTCACCACCTGGACTCTGTGGTCATGTTTTGCTGTGTTTGCTTCTACTCATATCTTCCATCTGCCCATCCTCTCCATTCCTCAGTTTACCTGCTACTTTCTGCTCTCCAAGTTCCAGTTCAGGATGTCAGAAGGACGTGACAAGGTGCATCAGCCAGGCCCTTCCAACAAAAACCCAGCACAAACTGGGTTAAGCAAAAAGAAGAGTGTTGGTTCTTAGAACCAAAGTGTCCCCTGGGTAATGACTTCTGGGGGCGACAGCCTCCAGGGCCACAGTGATGGACTCCTCCTCTTGCTGCATCTTGGCTCGGCTCTCCCCTGCCTGCCTTCGTCTCCGTAGCTGACCCCACATGGCAGCACCGATGGCACCAGGCTCCCATCACATTCTGTTCAGCCGAAAGAACCACCCATTCCCAGTTGGCTGGCAGAGTACCTGGCAATGGTGCACTGACCAAGCTCGGCCCCATGCACACACCTAGAGCCCCACGTGACTACAGGGATGGAGAATAGGGGAGAGTGCAGCTCCCCAAAGGGAAATTCAGGTGTGTTGCCAAGACTAGGATGTATGGGTGCTGAGCAGGGAGAACTGTGGCCGTCCGCCCTCCTGTGCCCTGCTTGGGACTGAGAAGAGGTCACTGAACTGTGTCAGCACACAGCGCCTGGCCTGCCACAGGCCCCAGGTCTGCGTCCCTGGCTACCCTTATCCCTTCATGATACGCTTTGTAGGTATCCCTCCTTCGTGGCCTTTTGTAATGGTGCTGTGGTTGATGGGACTGGGAATACGAGAAGAGACAAGCTTGGTCTGGACTGCAAGACAAGGGCCTGAGGACGAGCCGCTGACAAAGGAGGGCTCCAGGTTAACTGGAGTTCCTTCCCCTCCCTCTCTCCTTTCTCCTCTTCTCCTGCCTGCTTGCCTTCTGCAAGTGTCTCTGGGCCATGATCAGTGCAGATCCTGGAAATATACCCACAACAAAAGCTTAGCAGCCACCCCTTGCAGCTCAAGTGCTTGTGATAACCTCTGTGAGGTCAGGTGAGGTCTGGGAACTGGGGTCCAAGCTGCGACCGTTTTGTGGGATGTATTCCTCAGCCTGGTATCTGAAAGCTGTCCTGGATGAACTCATATCAGTCACGCTAACAGAGAGCTGCCATGGAAACTAGAGGCCTAATCACTGATTGACGAAGAGAACCAAACCTGGCAAGGCACCAGGCATGTCCTTGGTCAGCGCTTCACCCTGGCCCTGGTGTCAAGCGATTGCCCATGAAGGCTCCTGGGTCCAGTGTCCCCTTCCCTCGCAGGGTGCATACTTGGTGAGGGTGGGACACAGGTGACAGCCTCTGGCTCGTGTCTGGTGCAGGCTGTGCCTTGGGGTCCTGTGTTTTGTCTGGTGTTGTGGAAGGGATGGACCCACCCATTCTGCTATCCTGGAAAGAAAGCCATGCCAGGCATAACAATTGGAGGGTGCTGAAGACTTATGAGAAAGCAGTGAGCGGACTGGGCAAATGAACCCCCAGACCCACGTGGCCCACGAGGCCCCCAGGAACTGGGCCTGCTCCCTTGCCGGCCAACAGCATCTCCTGCCACTCACTCCTGCCTCACCCCCTGCTGCCACACACACCTTCCCTCAGTTTCTCAGGCAGCCAAGCTTGCTCCCACCTCGGGAGTCATTGCTGTCACCTCTTCCCCCAGGTCTTGGTCTGGCCAGCTGCTGCTTGTCATGTAGGTTCTGCTCACATGTCATCCCTTCAGAGAGGCTTTTCCTGACCCCCAACCTAAGTGGCTCCCACACACACACCTCCTCACCAGATTGGTTTATTGTGTCACCCTGATTTGTTTCCTGTTTCACACTGGCCATTTTCTAAATGTGTTTTAGTCTCTGGATATTGCTGTATCCATCATTCTGGTTAGAGCGCCGACTCTGATCAGATAACCTGTGTTGAATCCTAGCTCTGCCACTTGTTGGCTGACTGACTTTGGATGAGTTATTTCATCCCACTGTCCCTCAGTTTCCTCTGTCCTGTGGGCAGTGGTAGCACTCTCTCATACAGTTGCTATGTGGACTGATGAGTCACTATGTGTGAAGTGCTTAGAACAGTCCTGGGGCCATGGTAGGTTTCCTGTTATTAGCCAAGGTGCCTGGAACATGTGAGACTATTAGTAAATCCTTGTTGGAAGTGATAAGATCTTCATGGTACTGTCGGCTGCTGGCCTTATTGGGAGACAGCATCATGTTAGTATCTGCCACCGAGTCCCCACCCCTGAAGCACGTGGAGTTGCTGTTGGCATTCGGTACTTTCTTAAAGGCTGCAAATCTGAGTGGAGACAAATTTGAGATGGCACTCTGATGTCCTGGTGGCAAGGGGCAGAACAGAGATCAGACCAGGAGCTCATGGGCATTGACTCTAGCTGCTCTGACCAAGAGGGCTGGGCAGTATGTAACCTATCCAAGCAAAAGTCTTCCGTCTGTCATGGGTCAGGGAAAGGCTCGGTGTGATGGTGAGAAGCCAGGCCATTCCTGACAGCTCACTTTAATATAGGCCTCCACCACTCTGCCAGCCCTGGCAGCTAGCAGATATGTGGGGAAATATGCCAGCTTATGTAGCTGTTTCAGCTCTAGCATGTAGTGTTGCTGTATGTTACGGTCTTTGACTTGAATGCAGGATATGTGGACCAGGTGACACGCGTTATAGTCTCCCCTCCCTTCTCTCTTACAGTTTTGCATTTGGCTCCCTCATTTCTGCTGTCGATCCAGTGGCCACCATTGCGATTTTCAACGCACTTCATGTGGACCCGGTGCTCAACATGCTGGTTTTTGGAGAAAGTATCCTCAACGATGCAGTCTCCATCGTCCTGACCAAGTATGTGTGGGAGAGGAGAGAAACTGCTTTCTCCAGGGACAGAACTAAAGGTCCTTGTACCGCAGGGTCAGGTGTTCCCACAGTGTGTGTGCTCTGAGTGATCGCTTTGCCCCCGCCTTCCCCACGTCTCCGTCCTGACGAGCCTTGCTGTGCCACAGTGATCGCTTTGCCCCCGCCTTCCCCACATCTCCGTCCTGACGAGCCTTGCTGTGCCACAGGAATAGTCAGGTCTGGGGCGATGAGGAGAGAGGAGTCGGCCTAATGGACCTCTTAGTGTGCTTTGTGAGCCCAGCTCCTTAGCATCACTGAGGCCGCTCATGAAGTATGGCGTTCGAGCCCCCCCTACCAGAGCTTTGGATGCATTTGGTCTGGATAGGGGAAGGGCTATAGGGTTTTTCAAATTTTATTTACTTATGTATTTGAGTCAGAGTCTCACTCTGTCATCTGGCTCACTGTATGACAGAGTGAGACTCCCAACTAAAAACAAAAATTTTGTTTCGTTTTGTTTTTGAGTTGGAGTCGCACTCTGTCACCCAGGCTAGGGTGCAATGGCACACTCACAGCCACCACAGCTTTAACCTGCTAGGCTCAGGTGATCCTTCCTCCTCAGCCTTCCAAGTAGCTGGAACTACAGGCACGTGCCACCTCACCCAGCTTATTTTTTGGTTTATTGTAGAGATGAAGCCTCACCAAGTTGCCCAGGCTAGTCTCGAACCCATGGGACCAGGCAATCAATCCTCTCACCTTGGCCTCCCAAAGTACTAGAATTATAGGTGTGAGCCACAGCGCTTGGCCTAGTCTCTTTTTGGGTTTTTTTTTGTTTGTTTTTTAATCAATATTTTTTATTATGATACTGTGGGCTACAGTTAAGGGTTAGGTATACAAATATGCTTTGTTCAGGCACCCTTGCTGATAAGAGGTGTCTCCCCATTTTTGTTTTAAAAGTTATACATGTTAGGGTTTTTTGAGGTGGGATCTCATTCTTTCTCCCAGGCTGGAGTAGAGTGGCACCCTCACAGCTCACTGCAGCCTTGATCTCCTGGGCTCAGGCAATCCTCCTCCTTCAGCCTCCTGAGTAGCTGGGGCTACAGGTGTGTGCCACCATGTCTGGCTAATTTTTTTTTTTTTTTAGTTGAAGTCTCATTCTGTCGTCCAGGCTGGAGTGCAGTGGCATGCTCACAACCACCACAGCCTCAACCTCCCAAAGTGCTGGAATTATAGATGTGAGCCACTGCACCTGGCCTCTGATTTTTTTTTTTTTTGGTAGAGACAAGGTCTTGCTATGTTGCCTAGACTGGTTTCAAACTCCTGGACTCAAATGATCTTCCCGCCTCTGCCTCCCAAAGTGCTGGGATTATAGATATGAGCCACCACGCCCAGACCATATATTCTTAATAATAAAAATTTAGAAGGCACAGAGCCAAAAAAGAAAGAACAGTCACACACATTGCTCCTACTCAGAGATAATTATGGTTAACAATTTGGTATAAATATACATATATTTTATTTAAATGGGTGTATACCCCCAATACCATACTGTAACTTTTTCACTGAACAGAGTTAATGAAACAGTCTTCTACAGCATCATTTTACTAGTTGCAGAATATTCCTTTCCACGGATTTACTAAGATCTATTTAACTAAATCCCTGTTATTGGCTTTTTCACATTTCCCTTGGCAGCAATTTATGTAGCTTTATTAGGAAATCATCAACATCATGCTGCAAGACCTTTAAAAAAAATCTGATGACAATATTTTATTCTCACTTAAGATGTACTCTGAAAGCTGTGTAGCTTTCTGGTTTTTACTTTTATCTTGTATCCTGGCTACACATATTGAACATTTGTGATAAGGAATTTTACTCAACTTGGAGGTGAAATCATGAGTTATTTTTATACATTGGGAGCTAAACTCACTTGCTTTGTTTCCAATTTATTTAAAGAAAAAAATCTGGCAGAGGTAGGACCTTTCCAGCTTTCCCAGGTCTCTTTGCTGCAGAAAGGCCAAAGATGAGGGAACATTTTGATTTTAAGATGAGAAGTGATGGAGTCCTTGTAATAGTCAGAGGTTCTTACCAGAACTTTTTGAAGGCCAGGCTCACCTCTGATGACAGTTCCCACAGTTGGCTCTGTGACTACATGCATGTAGTTTCCAGCCTACTCCTACCCCCAGCACTACCACTGTTGAGACACAGACTGGGCTAGGGGTCAACCCCACCAACTCTTCTAACCACAACTGGCCATCTGCCAACAGCACTGTATGAGGGACCCATATGTGCCAGACTCTGCTCAGAGATCAGGTGGGTTTGACAAATTTGGTCTGCCGTGGGATAAGGTGCTCATGGAGACATGAACACAGTGCCTTGAGTACCAGGGGGGAAAGCAACCAAGGGGGATTTGGGAAGACTTTTCAGACAGGATGTCCTGTGAGCCAGGCCTGGAAGGCTGGTGGGCGTTTTCACACAGAAGAGCAAGGGTACGTTCTAGACCTGCTCCCAGCTCCCGGGAGCTGTTGCCACCTGCCGCTGGTTAGAAGGAAGCATCCATCCTGTTTGTAAGGGTTTACTTCAGAAACGGCCATCTCCAAAGTGACCTGGCACATGTATCTTTGTAACAGAAAGAGGAGTGTAAATGAATTAACGCCCCCACCCTTTTTTTTGAGTTGGAGTCTCACTCTGTCGCCCAGGCTGGAGTGCAGTGGCACACTCATGGCCACCTCAGCCTCTACCTGCTGGGCTCAGGTAATCCTTCCACCTCAGCCTTCCAAGTAGCTGGAACCACAGGCATGTGCCACCACGCCTGGCTAATTTTTTGATTTGTTGTAGAGACAAGGTCTCCCCAAGTTGCCCAGGCTGGTCTCCAACCCCTGGACTCAGGCAGCCCTGTCACCTCAGCCTCCCAAAGTGCTGGGATTACAGAATTCAGCCACCATGCCTGGTGAATTACCCCTTTTTGATGTTGTTACCTTGGAAGTGCAAGAAAGCAAAGTGTCTTCTGCTTCTTCATTACCTTTACTTACATCAATTTTAGCTTTGATGTGTTACAGTATACTCATATAATAATTGCTACAGAGAAAACCTTTTGTTTTCTCCAGTGACAGCTTAGGCTCGTGAAATGGACCCTGCAGCAGTATTGTCTTTGACTTAAGGTATAAGAAACAGCACCTTAAGAAATAGGTGTAGAAAATTACCGGGCCAGAAAGAGTCCAGATTCGACTCTCATTCATCTTGAGTTTAGACACCATCCACCCAGCCCTGGATTTGCCGTGAATGCTTTGTGTGACCTCAGTTACTCACTCTCTTTGGACTTCAGTGTCCTCTGTATAAAAAGAAAGCAGAGGCCGGGCTCGGTGGCTCAGCCTGTAATCTCAGCACTTTGGGAGGCCAAGGCGAGTAGATTGCCTGAGCCTGTGGGTTCGAGACCAGGCCAGGCGAGACCTCATCTCTACAGTAAATCAAAAATTAGCCGGGTGTGGTAGTGCGCACCTGTAGTTCCAGCTACTTGGAAGGCTGAGGCAGAAGGATTGTTGGAGCCCAGTAGGTTAATGATGGGGTAGCCGTGAGCGTACATTCCAGGGTGACAGAGTGAGACTCTAACTCAAAAAAAAAAAAAAAAAGCCAGCCTGGGTGCCAGCTGTGATAGTGGCCCATGGGTCTACCTTTTGGAACTTTACAGCGAACATGGCCTTCAAAAGCGCTATTCCAATCCAAGCCCTTGTTGGTTTCCACATTCCCCAAGGAGAGGATTAACCTGCGATCTGCTGGGCAGGAAAGGGGGTTGGGGCCATTGTGTATTTGGATGAGTCTAGAAAACTTTTGTGTGAAGAAAGATTTGTTTTATTCCGGACTTCTCAGAACCTTTATGGTGTTACTTTGTGCTGTGAATATTGAAAAGTCTCTTGAGGTTATTTGACCAAGCTATACTTTTATCAGAGATTCTCTTTTAGTTCGTGACATGCTGTTTGATGAAGCTGAGTATTATTGTTGATGCTTCTTTGTTTCATTTACTGATTCAGCAAAAATGCATTGAGTATCTTTTCTGTGAGCCTCTACCTTAGGCCCTGGTCATATGGTGGCAAAATGGAACGGTACACAGTCTTCACATGCTATGAGGAGAAGTCAGGCACCAACAGAACCTATACATGGGCTAGCTGTGTCCCTGAGAGAGTGTGACTGACCCTGGGTTCTGAGGGACAAATGAGGGAGTTAGCTGGGGTCAGGGAAAGGTGAACCTTGACCTAGAGGGTGCTCGTGTGGCCCCACCCTGAATGAGGAGGAGATAAAGTCAGAGAGGATGGCAGGAAGGAGCCAGGCCAAGCCAGCTCCAGGCTTCCTCCTAGTACTATCAGGAGACTGTCCGTGAGGTTTTGTTGTTTGTTTGTTTTTTTTGAGTTGGGAGTCTTACTCTGTTGCACAGGCTAGAATGTAATGTCACAATCACGGCTCATCACAGCTTCAACCAGGTGATCAACCCCCTGCCTCAGCCTCCTGAATAGCTGGTACTACAGGCACATGCCACCATGCCTGGCTCCATTTTTTATTTTTTGTAGAGATGAAGTTTCGCTGTGTTGCCAAGGCTGGTTTCTAACTTTTAGCCTCAAGCAATCCTCCCTCCTTGACCTCCCAAAGTGCTGGGATTACAGATGTGAGTCTTGAGTTTTGAACAGGTGGGTAACTGATCAGAGATGCACTTGAAAGGGATCATTCAGGCCATTAAGTGGAGAATGGAGCTGGTCTGTAGGAAGACACAGATGTCTAGAGAGAGACAGTGAGGCAGACCCCTGGCAGAAGGGCAGTAGAGGAGGGAGAGAGGCGGAGGGTTTGTGAGGTGGAATGACAAGAGGAAGAGATCTGAGAGCAGCTTCCTGCTGATGGTATCATGGTTTTCCCTTTGGGGACAAAAGCAGCCATTGAATTTAATGGCTTCTGAGATTTATTTTACTTTGTTACGGTACAGTGAAAGTTCTTTCAGTTCTTTCTCCTTCATGTTTCTTAAATCCTCCCTCTGCCTGAACCCTCTGGTGTTTCTTCTCTGGGTATCTCCTCTCTAAGCTGACTTAGCACCACAGCCTCAGTTTCAGTTTTTGTGGCAGGATTTCTGTGCTGAGACACTTCCCATTGACTTGCCCAAGCCTTCCCCCAGGCCCTGCCTCTTCCTGCTGCCTTGCCTCATCTCCTCCCTCCCCCATCCTGCTCCCCGTGTTTCAGCCTTACTCATCTAGGTACTTGGATGTTCCCACTGTATGCCATGTGTGCTTGGGCTCCCTTCCTCCCTGCCTCCTGCCTCCCTGTCTCTGCACATATTGTTCCCTTGGCCTGGGTGCTCTTCCTCCTTGCTTCACCTGGGCAACTCTTCTTTATCAGAAACCTGAACCTAGGCCTAGCCCACATGTTCTCAGGTACCTCCCTGCACCCCCGCCCAGTTGGGCACCCACCCTCTTTCTAAGGCCCTTCACCCTCCCCAGGTTGTCTTAAGTCCTCCCTGTTTCTCTTCCTCGTTAACCCTGGGGGAGCTCCGTAAGGGCAGGGACTATGCTGTCCTCCCTAAACCCCAGAAACTACCGTAGTACCTGGGACAAAGTAGGTGAACAAATAAGCGTTCAGCCTATTGAATGATGGAAAGAACGAATGAATGAGGGGATAAGCAAGAAATCCGTTTGCGTTCTAAGTTCACTTCTAAGAACTTTGTGTATAACATTTAACTTCTTTCTGTTTTCTTTTATTTCCTAGCACAGCTGAAGGTTTAACAAGAAAAAATATGTCAGATGTCAGTGGGTGGCAAACATTCTTACAAGCCCTTGACTACTTCCTCAAAATGTTCTTTGGCTCAGCAGCGCTCGGCACTCTCACTGGCTTAATTTCTGCATTAATATCCTTTTAATGTGATGAACACACAGTGCTGAGATTATTCTTGATTGCATCTGTCTCTAGCCAGTTTCTCCTGTTCCTCAGGCGGCCAATTTTAGACTAAGGTTTTCTTTGAAGGAGGATTTTTGTACTTAGTTTTGGTTTGAGAAATACTCTAATTTAAACTCAAGGATCCTTAAATTTAACATGTGAAATTCAGGATGTCACTTTCCAAACCTTAAAAACCATTTTCACTGTTGGATATTAGATTCGATGTTGGGGGCTTCTCAGTTCCCAGAGTATGACAGCCACATTCAGATGTTTTTCATTTTCTGCCATCTCACTTTACACAGTCAGAAAATTGGAAATTAATTTTATTTGAAAATGTCAAATTGAGAAAATCTTTACCCCACAGAAAGTGTTGTATCTGGAAGGATAGTAAAAGGAACTTTTTTTTTGAGTTGGAGTCTCCTTTGTCCAGGCTGGAGTGCAGTGGCATACTCATGGTCATCCCAGCATGGACCTGCTGAGCTCCGGCAATCCTTCTGCCTCAGCCTTCCAAGTAGCCGGAACTACGGGCGCACGTATGCGCTACCATGCCTGGCTAATTTTTTATTTATTGTAGAGACGAGGTCTTGCCAAGTTGCCCAGGCTGGTCTCGAACCCACAGGCTCAGCCAGTCCACTCGCCTCAGCCTCCCAAAGTGCTGGGATTACAGGCTGAGCCACCGAGTCCAGCCGGAAAAGGGACCTTATTTATTTTTTTTATTTTTTGAGTTGGAGTCTCACTCTGTCGCCCAGACTGGAGTGCAGTGGTCACTCCCAGCCACCACAGCCTCGACCTACTGGGCTCCAGCGATCCTTCCGCCTCAGCCTTCCGAGCAACTGGAATTACAGGCATGTGCTACCACACCCAGCTGATTTTTTGATTTATTGTAGAGATGAGGTCTTGCCAAGTTGTCTCAAACCCGTGGGCTCAGGGATTCCACTCACCTCGGCTTCTCAAAGCGCGGGATTACAGGCTGAGCCACCGAGCCCGGCTTGGAAAAGGAACTTTTAAAGTGTGTTCCATCTAAGTAATTTGCACTGGTTTTGTTGTTTAACAACCTGTAAGCTTTTCCAGCCAGGGGAGGAAAGAGGCTTGTTAAGGCCAATGGCACCCATATGCTGTAGAGAATTCATTAAGTTTAAAATAGGAACAGGCACCAGACCATTTCCATGTGCACCCAAGTCAGCATCTCAGCCTCCCAGGGAGATGACCACCTGGTGCTCCTCTGCCAGCAGTGTGTTTCACAGATGGCCGGAAGAGATGTGCCTGGTTACAGCCATGTTTTTCTGTCATCCTATTGAATTTTTAATCAATTCCTTTGTCTGGAAGTCTAAAGGCTCTATTGAATTGCCTGACAGCTTCTCATATTGTACCGGTACACAGCATGGAAAAGGAAACCTTCCAGCTCAGTCTTTTCCTCTTCTTTATTCTTTTATTTAAAAAAGAGAGAGAGAGAGAGAGAGAAAATCCTCTATTGTAAAGAAGTAGAGCGGATGGGAACTGTGAACTTCAGTATATGCATGTGGAAAAGATTTGGATATAGAGAGGCATGAGTTTGGAAATCTCCAAAAACAGTAAAAACTGTCCTTTCTCAGAGTCTTGAAGCCCAGAACTCTGGAAAGCAAGGTGGGCACCCATTAGTGAGCTCATCTGATGTCAGAGGAGGAGGTGGGAGGGTAACGCAACCCTGGGAGGGACTTGGAGTGTAGGCTGTCCTCAGTGCGTCTGCAGTCCCAGCCCCTCTGCCCTCCCCCCACCTGTACTTTCCCATACCTCTAAGTTAGCATTTTTATTTGTTTTTTGTTTTGAGTCAGAGTCTCACTCTGTTGCCCAGGCTGAAGTGCAGTGGCACACTCATGGCCACCACAACCTTGACCTGCTGGGTTCAGGTGATCTTTCCACCTCAACCTTCCAAGTAGCTGGAACTACAGGCGTGTGCTAATTATTTGATTTATTGTAGAGATGAGGTCTCACCAAGTTGCCCAGGCTGGTCTCGAACTCCTGGGCTCAGGCAATCCTCTCACTTCGGTCTCCCAAAGTACTGGGATTACAGGCTTGAGCCACCACACCTGGCCCAAAACACTTTCTTATTTTTTAATTTGGGTTTTTTTTTTTAGTTGAAGTCTCACTCTATTGCCCAGGCTGAAGTACAAGTGGCATGCTCACAGCCACCCCAGCGTCGACCTGCTGAGCTCCGATGATCCTTCCACCTCGGCCTTCTAAGTAGCTGGAACTACAGGCGCAAGCTGTCATGCCTAGCTAATTTTTAAAATTAATTAAATTTTTTTTTTTTTTTTTTAAGTTGGAATCTCACTCTGTTGCCCAGACTGGAGTGCAGTGGCTGCTCCCGGCCACCGCAGCCTCGACCTGCTGGGCTCCGGCAATCCTTCCGCCTCAGCCTTCCAAGTAGCTGGAATGACAGGCGCGCGCTACCACGCCCAGCTAATTTTTGATTTATTGTGGAGATGAGGTCTCGCCAAGTTGCCCAGGTGGGTCTCGAACCCCGCGGGCTCAATCCACTCACCTCAGCTTCCCAAAGGCACGGGATTACAGGCTGAGCCACCAAGCCCGGCTGATTTTTTTTTTATTTATTGTAGAGACAGATCTCACCAAGTTACCCAGGCTGATCTCTAACCCCTGGGCTCAGGCAGTCCTCTCGCCTTGGGACCTTCCACAGTGCTGGGATTACAGGCTTGAGCCTTTGCACCAGGCCCTAAATTAGCTTTTTTAAAAGAGTTTTTCTCCAGAATTTACATTTCTTAGTGTTTTATCCAAGTTCCCCTTCTTATAACAATAGTCTTCTGATCAGGCATAAATCAAAAAATTAGCTGGGCGGTGTGGCGCGCCAGTACTTCCATCTACTTGAAAGGCTGAGGTAGAAGGATCACCTGAACCCAGCAGGTTGAGGCTGGGGTGGCTATGAGCATGCCACTGCACTCTAGCCAGGGCGACAGAGTGAGACTCCAACTCAAAAAATAAAAAAAAATAGTCTCCCTACAAAGAAAAAATTCCACAGTGACAAATTTTCAGTTGTAGCTTTGGGATGTTCCAAAATCTTTTGTATACATTGTCTATGTTATATATTTGGAAGGTGGCAGTCTTGCTGTAGAAAATTCTCTACATCTCCCTAAATGGCCCTTGATTCTTTTTCCTTAACTATTGTCATTCACGTGCTAAAGCATATTGACTTGAGGAAAACACCTTCCTTGGAGTTTGGCATGATGATCATTTTTGCTTATCTCCCATACGGGCTAGCAGAAGGAATCTCACTCTCAGGTAAGTGACAGAGAGCCCAGAAACTCCATAGCGCTGGGACATTGTTCTAGGAAGAGGTTTTGTAAGAGGGTCACTTTCAGTCATAACTCAGAAGAGCTTAAGCCATAGGGAGATCTATTGTCTCCCTGTAGATCTATCTGGATTTAGGCCTGGCTGGATCCAGAGGCTCACCAGTCACATTGGTATCACGATCAAGTTTTCTTTTTGCCCCTCTTCTCTCATTTCTCCCAGCAGTCTTCCGAGGCTCCCTTATGAGTAGGCAGCCTGTGGGAGGGAGGCACTCTGAAGGACTCTATTTTACTGATGAGAAAACTGAGGTGGAGAGAGATTAAATGAATTGTCCAAGGCCACAGCAGGAAGTGGTGGAATAGCACTCCAACTCGGTGCCTTTGACTCAGAAACTGATGCTTGAAGCCCTCCTCTAATGCACTCCCCCCAAGATAGAGGACCATAAAACCACATGCTAAGTAAGCGCCATAGAGAGGGACAAGCCAACTGTGGTGTGGCATCGTGCTATAATAGCAGAGTCTACTGGACATGCCTTCCCTGTAGTTGTTTTCATGCTCCCACCATCCCACCATCCCAGGTACTAAGAAGTTATGTCATGAGCGCAAAGCTGCACAGGTGATAAGTAGCGGCAGTGAGATTGAAACCCGGGCAGGTGTGCCCTGATCCTTGTCCTGCACCCCACTGAGGAGGCGTGTGGCCCCCAGCAGCAGAGATGACTCTGATGACGCCCTGAAAGTTGATGCCCTCTCTGCAGCCACTCACACAAAAAGGTCCTTGGAGCCCTCACCTCCTTGTAGTCCATCCATGACCTTTGTTGGCAAGGCTTGGCTTAGTTGGGCTTTCTGCCCACAAGTGGCAGTCCAGCCTGTGTTCCTAGTTCTGTAAATTGTGAAGGTGTTGACCAGGAAGTGGAGGCTGGAGCGTGATTTGTCCCCACCCCTGTGCAAGGAATATAGCCAAATGGGAAGGCTCTGCCCTGAGTCTGACCCCATCTTTTGAATGAAGGCCCCTCAGAGCCATTGTTCTGGAAAAGCGGGACCATTGCAGGGAATGTTTTGATCTCTGCCACAGGGTGGGTTTTCTTTTTTATTAACTTTGTTGAGGTATAATTTACATACCATAAATGCACTTGTTCCAAATACGTACAGTTCCGTGAGTTTTGACATATATGGACAGTCATGTCACTGCTGCCATAGTCAAGATGTGGCACACCGTCATCACCCCACATCACTCCCTGTGCCCTTCTGCTGTCAGTCCCTCTGCCCATCCATTGATCTGCACTGTCACCGTAGGTGTGCCTTTTCCAGAGTGTCATATGTTGTTTTTTGAGTTGGAATCTCACTCTGTCACCCAGACTGGAGTGCAGTGGCCGCTCCCGGCCACCACAGTCTCGACCTGCTGGGCTCCAGCGATCCTTCCGCCTCCACCTTCCGAGTAGCTGGAACTACAGGCACGTGCTACCACACCCGGCTAATTTTTCGATTTGTCGTAGAGATGAGGTCTCGCCAAGTTGCCCAGGGGGGTCTCGAACCCGCGGACTCAGGCAGTCCACTCACCTCAGCCTCCCAAAGCTCTGGGATTACAGGTTGAGCCACCGAGCCCAGCTGCCAATCCCTTTCTTATAGTATTATAATTGTTCAAGGTCCACTTATGAGTGAGAACATATGGTACTCCATGTTTCTGTGATAGATCACTGAGTATGATTGACTCTAAATCCATCCAAGTTGCTGCGAAGTCCATATGTTTGTCCTTCTTTATGGCTGCATAATAC